ATGAAAAATATATTTCCACCGCTAGGAATCGATTCCGATATTCTGAGAATAAAGCCACCTACGGAAGTGCCAGTCAGCTCGCCGAATTTCCCTCGAAATACGAGGTCTAATCGCGCGGATAAGACACGTGACACCGGTCCAGCAGACAGTGTCAGAACTTTATTAAATAATAAGGGAATTAAACCGACTGGGACGATGGCTGGCGGACATTTAAAGTGCTCGTCCGTGTCCACGTCCGTTCTCACTAATTATCGTCGACTTCGCCCGTGATCCCCGACACGCGAAATTTGATCCAGGACAAAATAATTATGCAACGGCTCAGCTGCTCCCTCCGATTCTTTGTTTACCTTCGGACTCTCTGTCATTTTCACGCCGATCCTTTTCCACCCCCCTGTCGCCCTTATTCTTCATTCCATTCTCATCCCTGTCCCGCACACGCACACTTTCCCTCTTTTCCCGATCCCGTCGCGGACCTGACTTTTTCATCGCCCTCTCCTCTCTCAAGTTTTTGCTCCTCTGTTTTCCGACCGATCGATCGATACCAGTTTGCACGCGCGATTGACACCGTTTTCACTTAAACGTCAATTATCAGGAATCGACGGGGGGATAAATCGAAAGAAATCGCGCGCCCGCTCCAAATCGACGGAATAAATCGTTGATTTTTTGGAGATCGCTTCCAGTAGGAGACCTGGATTAAGATTTTTGTGGCCCGGAGCTGTCAAACTTTCAAGGGCCCCCTTGTTAAAACCGTGGAGGAGTTAAACAATTTGGTATAATACAACACAGTAAAATATATAAATCTTAAAAATTGAAATTTAGTATAAATAAAATTAAGTAACATTTAATCATAACGAAATGGAAGATTTAGAACGGAGCCCACCTGGAACGTAGGGCCCAAAGCCCCTCAGCCCCCACTAGGTGCATATTTCGGCAGATACGAATAACGTTTCGACTCGGAGGGGCATTAAGACAGGAAACGAAGAGAAATTCGAAGGTCAGGTGTTAGAGCACGAAGACTAAATTTCGATCCAGTCAGGACACGGTGTTTCGAGGATGTATCTCCACGCGGGGAGGCAAACGGGCCCTGTGCCTTGGAAATAATGAATGACCGAGCGTGCAACCGCTCCTCCTCCGTGTCCAAAGACGGATACCGGTTAAATTTTCAACATGTCTACCGAAACTGCAGAATTTTAGTGAGTCAAGGAAGACACTGATCTCTCATGTTAACGATTAACCGACACAGTTCGGTGGGATCTGTCAATGTTGAACGAAAATCCAGTCAAGTAAAGGTGATTCGCGAAATTTGTAACGCAAAAAGAGTATAGAATTCCTTTTTCACACCAATCCACACTGTAGTCTTCCTCGATGAGATCGGTGTAACCATAAGACGTAATTAGCGCTCGCAAGAGTCCCAATTAAGGAGAAAATCAGGAGTAGACAGAACACGATACGCTATCCTGTTACGGCCAACCCTGTTCTGTCCGCCTGGAGTAACGCACGGACGCCGATTAATCACGAGCAACTAACCCTTTGGCTGCTTTGCAAACCAACCCCAAAACCCCAATTGCTACCAGGTCTCCGAGTCGCGCCGTAGTCCAGAGACAAACTTAATCCGATATGTCCGTCGATCGCGCGGCAGAATCGACTGGCTCGGCTTTGCGCGGAGATAAACATCCGAAATGAATTCCAAGGGTGGCTCGAGGGACAACACAGGCCGCCATGAGGGTGGAGGGGGGTCTCGGCCGTAGGGGAGGCTAAATTAAGAGCAGAAAGAAGGGAACAGCTTCGAGCGATCCCCGAACCCGAGAGAAACGAGCCGAACGCTCGTAATGCGAGGCGCTTAAAGTTGCAATGGGTCTCTTGGGTATAAAAAAAAAATGGGGGAGGGGGGGTTGGGGGATCGAGTGACTGACTGACTGAGACCAAAAAGATGCGACCCGCCTAAGAGATTGGGAACCTCGCGAATCCGAGAAAGTCCACCGGGACCGATGTCGATTCGCGATACCCCTCCTCTGTCGGTCGATTTCTCACTCTTGTCTATCGATTCTTTAATTACCCGAACGTAGTACACGTGATAAGATAATGGAAAAACATTGTGTGACTGTGTGGAAACGGTAAGTAGAGCGACTTTAGTCCTGGCCGTGGTAATAGCAATTGTAATTGTAATAAGTAGAGATGGTATGCAAAATCATTAACAGGGATTTGTGATATTTTTAATGAATCCTACGGAACTGATTGGAATTCTCGCGAGTCAAAGTGTACTATTTCAGTGGCCGATGGTAACGCAAGAAACGAAGAGGGAGAGATGGTAGGGAACTCGAAGGGTTAATTAAGAGTTTGCTCGGCCCGACACGCTCAACCTGTGTGTATACTCGTAAGTACAAACTGTTTCCACGTGTATGCAGATCCTATTAAATCTACTACGTTCTATGCACGATACGCAAAAACCGCTTCCTCCGACAAACATCTTGCCACGTTTTCCCTTGAATTGTTCACCCTAAATTTTCAATCTTTTCGCAAGTGCACAAATTAGCCCCGTTCCAGTCTTCACCAAATAATATCACAGAGTCTATGTATATATATTGGAGACTGTTAATTGAATCCATTGAATTTCTGTTATAATTAAACGTTGATTTATCCCGCAGCAAATTCAATAAAAAAAATTTTCACGCACGTGCCTGTTAATTAAAATGGTCGGGATGCATTCAGAATTAAACAATATCATTTATTATTACCCTGTCCACCTCTCTCCCTTCGATCGCGATTTCAAATTTAATAAAACATATCGCCGTTTGCTTTTCATCAAATATTCAGCCTTTTCACAGTGTATACATATATCGGGTCGCGCGTGGTGCTCGATTCTACGAAATTTCATCGAAACCAGCCCCACGTCGTGAACGGTCATTTTATTCGAACGTTTCATTGGAAAGCCAATTTACACACCTGATCCACGAAGTCTGTGAAAGGTGACAAAATATTCTACAAAGCGTAACTTCTTTCGCGTGTACAGGATCGTCCACGAAACGTGATCAATTTAGATTATTCTACTGCTAGACTGTTCGAGAATTGTATCGGCTACATGATTCAAGGAGAGCTTTAGAATGATTTTACCAAATTTTTTGTCAACCCTTTTTTTCAACAGTTTTCACGGTCATCAAATAATCTTTTTCCTTTCCTATACCAAAGAAACACTAAGAAAATATCCTTCACCCTTTAACTCCTAGTGTTACACCGGTGCAGCACTCATTTTAAAAGTGCGTCAAATTCCATTAGTACTTAATATCTAACTATGGTCAGCCAGGATCCGTAGTTTCATTGACGTAGTCACATTGAAAAAAAAAAATATTCGATCGAACAGCTAGCAGTAGAATAATCTAATCTGATCCCGTTTCGTGGCCCACCCTGTATAATAAGTATCGAACAGATCCTTAAAGGGATTTAAGGAACAGTCTCGGGATGATCGTCGCGAGACCGACAAAAATTCTCTAATTAAGCGAGTTGCGTAGCCAAAGGGTGAATCGGCGGTGACAGCCCCTTTGGCGAACATAGGTGCCTAGCAGCAGTAGCAGGAAGCTGTTACTAAAGGGACACATTTACGTCTTCCCAGGAGTGCGTTAGCTAGCTGGCTAGCCGCCGGCCAAACCAACCCTCTCGTCGGTCTTATTCACGGACCAGGAACCACCCTGGCTCAACTTCCTCGAGTCACCGAACTAAAGCCCGAATCTCTGTGTTACTCGACGGTAATCGAATCACCGCGGTCGCATCGCGAATCCGCGGAAACTCGTTCGTCGACCGCCACCCCGCAATTTCGATTACGGGGCTCCTTTCGAGGAAACAAAGTGTTTGCTCGGCCAGCAAACAGCTTCGGTGTCCGTCTACATCCACCGTAAATTTCTCGATTAGAAAATGTTTTGACCGTCATTCGTCGACTTTTTCTACCAATACAGTAAATCACCGATGAGTGTTCGGAGGCTCCTCGGCACTGAACTGTAAATCTTTTTACTTCACTGTATTTTAAGAGGGACCATGGACTAATGGAACTCTGCGAGGCTGTGGAGCGAAATTTGGTGAAGTCAAGAAAACACTTTGAGGTATACATGGACAGATGTTCATACTGACTTTGAAGAGGACAAAATTCACGCGTTTAGAAAAGAAGAGCCTCCAAAGGGAACGGTGACTATCCCCCTGGCAGGGCTTACGAACCACCGTCCTAGATCAATCAAACGAAATAGAGTTAATTGTGTCTGTGAAACAATATTCCTCTATCTAGTAATGGACTTGGGAGATCGGTCGAGTAAAACCGAGTGAAACCGAACTGGGCTCCTGTGTTACCTGCCCCGGTAATCGAATTACACAAGCGTGTGTCGAATTCGCAGAAACTCGTGGCCATAGAAACCGAATATGCAGTAAATTCCGAAAGTGTCCCACGGGCTCGATGGCAAAACCTTATCGTCTCTGTAGCGAAAGACGACTTCGATGCTTCCGGACTGTACACGCGACTGAAATTAGCCTGAAACGTGGGTTCCAGACGAACGAAGAAAATAATCAAGCACAGTTCTTTTTTTAAATACTTAATTTTCGAATAATCTAACGCAGCTCGACTGAATCGTCACGAATGGCATCTGACACTTCATCGAACGAAAATTTCTTGAAAATTGTTCCCTACAAAATAAAATAAACATCTTTGCGCGTTAACCTCCTCAGCTGTGTTCCTCCTCAAACGCTGAGATTCGTCTGAAAAATTCACCCCCCCAGGATCTTTGTAGACTCGAGCTGCGAGACCGAGAAACACAAGAGGGTAGAGACGACCCTCTTTATCCCCTGGTCTTTCGCCGCTTGTTACGATCTTCGAGATTTTTATGGGTCACAGGACCTGCTTCAGAGTCCCTGGTATCAGAGGCTGTTTGAGGTCGCGTTTCGTGGTCCTGTCGATCGACTTTCGTGGACGCATGCACGCTCGACAAAAAAAGAAGAATAGAAATAAAGTGATCATCACTCACCGCTGTCGAGGCTGTTCTGGTTCTCGAGGTCCGGCCCTTGAACAGACGATGGCCTGCCATCTTGAAGGTATTCTGCAACCAGAATCTTGACCTCAGTTTTATCAGAATAAAAAATAGATTTAATTAAATATTCACTAACCCACTCATTAACCGTACACTGTCAGAATTCGTCGCTGTAGTTCTTAATTGTTCCATCTAATTCTAAACCGAGAAAACTGAGTTTAAAGTTTGGGAAGTTTAATATTACAGAACCAAGAGAGTAATGAAATAATCAAACACACTATAATACCATCTATTGAATAGCTATTTATTAAAATATTTAATTGTCGTTAGTATTTGGTGATAGTACCATTAAGAAAAACAAACTTTCAATGTTTCAGAATTAAGTCTTAACAGAATATGTGTTCTTTATATTACAGTGAATTTGTATTCTTTCGTCCACTGAGACGCACATATATTGGTTAATTAAATTTTTGAAAAAATGGAGTTAGTACGGTTAAGAACTCGAGCGACGAAGTATTAAATATAATATCCGTTTAACACCCTCTAAAGTTCAGATCGGGAAGAATTCGTTCGGGTGGGTTTCGAGACGATTTATCTCGCGGAACCATACCGTTCCCGTCGCTTTCTATCAATCCCACCCTCGAGATATCCAGCGGGGTAGTAATTTTTAGGGCACCCCGGAACCCTAATAGGTCAGGTCAGCATTGAAATTTCATGGGATTTCGAGCGATCGAGCAGAACGAGGAATAGAGCTCGGATACCACGGGCAAAAGCGGGCCAGGGCCAGAGCGTCAGCGGCGCGCACGACCCTTTTGCCACACGCGGATGCGTATAATACGAGAAAGGGTGGAAAAGAGCCGAGAGGGTGATCCCCACGGGAGCCATGGTCCCGGTGATATTGGCTCCCATAGCCCATTCCTGCGCATAGGAGACCGACACCACCACCTTGGGCCAACATCGACGGAGAACTGGCCGAAATTCAAATTTCCCACCGGGCGTGCAGGTGCAACTTTAAGCGTAACTTGCGCGAAACAACCACACGCGAACACGGGGTGCTCTGTTACTCGTGACAGCACAGTTTCTTTTCTTTTCTTTTTTTTTAATATCGGACCAGATCAATCGATTCGTTTACGAACGAGAGATCAGTCAATCGATCGTGAGCATCGAATCGAGAGTTACGACAGAGAGGCGTAAGGACTGGGCTTGAATTATGAGTTTTAGGTTCTTGAGACAGTTATGAAGAACCTTTATACTTAACGAATACGTCTTGAAATCCTCTAACAGATAGGCGTAAAAAAATGATAGGTGTATTTGCAAAAAATTGAAGGTGACCTTGGAAAATCGTAGAAAGAAAGAGCTGACAAAAAATTTTCTCTAATCACGTTAAAGCTCTCTTGAAACCATGCTATACCTGATAAAAATATTTTCGATCGGACTGCTAATAATAGAGTAATCTCTACTGATCACGATTCGCGGTTCACCCTGTATAACAGTTTGAAGCGTTTCGAACCCTGAATCCTGAAACACCGCGCTGGTTGTTTCCCTGTTTCGATCGAATCATGTTTGGTCTTACGACTGGGGGCCACGATTTCTCTAAGTCTGCCGTCCTAGGGTTCTGAAGGGGTACTTAGCTTTTAAGCAGGCTTATCCTCTCGGTTACCCGACTCACGCGCGCGTGGCTACCGTAAATTGATCTCTGACCCACAAACCTTGTACATCGTTTCGACTCTACTCATTTTACTCGAATTAAATAACCCACAAACTACCGCCTTAATATAATCATAATTATCCTAGAACAGGGGATGAGCGTGTCCTTTTGCGGTGTCACTGTTCGAAAAATGGTAACGTTAATTAAAATCGCATCAACCCACGAGGAAAAGACGTGCGTATGATTTCAGGGGCTACTTAATTGGATGACCTGGTGGTATTCGTTCACCGGCAAAGAGAATCGACGATATTATCTCGAAAGTATACAACGACACCTTAATCGAGGGTAAGCAACGATTAAAATCAGATTTAGGCTGGGTTTGCACCCCCCTTTTGGCTGGTTTTCGCGGTTTTTCCGGTATCGATTTTAGATTTAGTCTACGGGAGGCGCGTTCGTTTGCTTGTTTCGACGTTTCCACCCCTTCGTCCCTTTTCCATCGTGCTTTCAGTGGCGGCAGGAAATATTTGCGAAAGGAATCCGCGACGGCGGCAGTTACGTTAACCAGCCAATAAATATTAAATAATCTATAAATTTTTTCAGAAAATTCACATTATCGATTGATGCTTGCTGTTGGAGGCTCCTGTGGCTCCTCGATCCATGTTGCTGCCTGGATCGTCGTGGATTCCGCAGGACTAAACGAGGAACGCGTCCGCGTTCGATATCTCGCGGTTTCTATCGAACGCAGATTAATTAAACGCCCACGGTATATTGGAACCACCGCGATTACAACAACGGCGATCTGTAATACCCCGTCAGAGTGTTTGATCGGCTAGTGGGAACGCTGTGCCTCCTGATGGACATTAAATTCGAATTACATAAGGCGCACGACAATTAAACGGGGGAACTCGGTTATCAGTCCTCATCCGAGCTATATGATTATTTCGAATGGAATATGTTACTAATGACCGGACAGACGTACGTGTGCAACGATGGCCCGAGTTTCAAGTCGTTCCGACATCATCGACTAATTGATTCCCGATGTGGAACAGGCTGTCGTCCATTGGATTTGTTTCCTAATTGGATTAATTTTCCGATGAAATAACGTTCAGCCACCACCCACGTGTTAACGTCGTTGCGTAGGCCCTTTCAAAACCCTTTACACGCAAGATGATCGAACAGGGATCAACATGTGATCTATGGCTCTACGGGAACAGCCCACTGACGTTCCACGGAGATGAAAAAAATTGATGCTAAAGTACGAAAAGCTTTACGATGCTCCAAGCATGTCGAAGAAGACGTTGCATAATTGAGACGCTCGAGAGGAGGCGGTTGGCTTATGAAAGAAAATCCAGACGGTGAACGCGAGCGAGCTAGCGAACAAGCACGGAATCCAATTTGGGTCGAATGAGAACCACCGGGATGAGAACCACTGCGGTGCTCCCACGGGACCACTGGGAGCAGTGGGAAGCCTCTGTACCCGTGCTGGGGCTATAGCCCGGCTACACCACGGAGGGTGGGGTGGGACTCCCCAAGGAGGTAATTACCCTCCCTACGTTCGCCCAGCCACCCACAAGCCATCGCAACTTCAACTCCTGCCGGAGTTACATGCTAATACAAAACCAAAACCGGTTCCCAACAGCTTCGAGTGCCGTCGAAATTTATACATACATACATACATATACACGCGTGTCCCCACACACCGGTGAGAATCGGTAATGACGTCGAGAGAGGACGACCCCGAACAGTTGAACCCTTGTCGGCGGGTTGCGCGCGATTTGAATCCTGAATGGGGTAACACGGGAAAATGTCGAATTGTTCCGGTTCGATTATGCTGAAGTTAGTAGGCGGAGACACGAGTGCTGTCTACGCCTTCGAAACTGGGTCTTGGTTTTCGAAAATCGACTACGATTGACCCTTTCAGACCTGAATTTTCTTTTAACAATAAAATTAGTATTTAAATTTCCTATAGTGTAGAAACTTTATGTCCACAAATATGTCCACCAGGTCTGGAACGGTTAAAATTGGATGAACTGTTTTGGGGAAGTTGAGGGCCTGGGGTGAAAAAGTTTCGCAAGTGAAACGGGGGTCACAATTTGAACTTGGAAAATTGATGATCGAGAACGATGATTTTGGCGTATGTTATGTTTGCTTTTTTCACAAGACGGTAGTGTTCCACACGGATGTCCGGGAAAATTGATGATCCAGAGAGGTCTAAGGATCTAAACTTGTTAAATCGTGATGTAATTCTAGACTACCCGGGCAGACGTTGGAAGATTGATGATTGGAACAGTTAATTTTGGCTTCTCTAGGTGGTTGAGCTGGTTGTTTATGGGATTTAGGGGGACTACGGGCTTGGTTTTACCGGCTACGAGGGGTAGGGTCGGTGTTCTTTTCGGGGGAGAAGCGTGTGGCAGTGATTGGATTAGCTGGATATTGAGTTGGAAACGTTACTGAAGGAAGGGGTTGCCTTTCCAGCCTTCCGCCGAGCGCGCTAGTTTTTTTAATTTTCCTCGAATATCCCCTAATTCTCCCTGACTATGAATTTTTCATATTTCACGATTATTGTTCGACACTTAAATTCTGGCAATAACTTCGAATAGAAAAACTTGAATCCTTTCGTTATCTTTCCAAAATTATAATTTAGCAACCCAACGAGTCGGATGACAGACAACAGATAAATCTAAATCCAAAGGTGTCATTTCGGCAATCGATGCACGACCGTACGTCTCATCGTGAACGTAACAGCGAATCTGAAATTGCATTGTACGCGGAAAACGCGTCCCCTCCCCCACCCTCGTTTCACCTGGTATATTTCAGTGGCAACGAGAAACTGATTACCAACAGTGTCCCAAGCGCGGCCTTGGAACTCCCAAAAGTCATACTCGTAAAAAAAGACTATTGTACACCGCGGACTTCCGGGTTATTTATACGAGTTATCTCTTCTCTGAAACCACGGAACTGCCGCCGCGCGGTGCAATGTTCGCGGGGCCGGTGACTTATGAGCGATGATAATTCCAGCAGCTTGAGTGCCGTAGCTTTTCGGTGGCCAGCTACTTACCCCGTAATTCTCCGTCTCGCTGGCTCCCTCCCCGTCGTCTTATCAATGAATTATTCTTGTCTTCGAACAAACAATTAACCCACCATGAGAGTCGACCACCACCCTCGCCTAACGTTTCGTCCTAGTAATCCTTAAGCTACGTATAGACACTGCGAGGCTTCCTCGCGAGGCTGCTTCAACCAATAACTGCCTCGATCGAGTTGACTCGTGTCTTAACACTTGTGTAGGCAACCATTTACACAGGTAGCAGTTTCTAAATTTCTAATATTATTGGAAAGGAAAACTAACAGTTTCGGAAAAGTATGAAAGAAAAATTATCTATCTTTATCTAATCTATCAGAATGGAAGTATTCCAATTGCTCA